AAAAGGCCCAAAAGAGTTATTCCCAGAAAAAATAAATTCTGGGCAGGAGTATACGACAAGAAAAAATAAAGTCGTTCCAAGAAGGAAAATGAAGCCACCGTGTGAAGACAAATGTAGACTTCACTGCAATTCTAAATTTACCGAAATAGAGAGACAGACAATTTTTGAAGAATTTTGGGCCATGGGAGACATTGAAAAACAGCGCCACTACATTCTCAAAGCGATGAAGACAGTGACACCAAAGTACAGGTACGTTAGGGCTGATGCAACTTGTAATATGTCAAACAATCAAGCATTTTATCTCAAATTTGGGGTTACTTCTTAAAACATAAGAGTGTGTAAGTATTTTTTTATGGCGACCCTTGATCTCACTATTAGAATGATACGGACAACACTCGATAAACAATCTGAAACGGGTGCTATTGATAGTGATCATAGGGGAAGGAAGTTTGTCAAAGGTGTACTCGAAGACAGCCTAACTCAAAGTGTTAAGGACCATATTAACTCCATTCCGCGAATTGAAAGTCATTACCTTCGGGCACATTCAACCCGGGAGTTTATAGAAGGTGGAAAAACACTAACACAGCTATATAGAGACTACAGAGCACTGTCTGAAGCCAATAATAAATCCTTAGTTAAAGAATCCATGTATAGATATATTTTCAACACGAAGTTCAATATTTCCTTCTTTACACCCAAAAAGGACCAGTGTGAGGAATACGAGTCAAATAAAAACAATGATAATGAGCAGCAAGATAATACGTCATTTTTAAAGCATTTAGAAGAAAAAGAAGTTGACAAAAAAAGTTCATCAATTGAACTTGTCTGTGCTGTCTACGATCTTCAAGCAGTTCTCACTGTTCCTCGAAGTGACGTTTCCATCTTTTATTATACATATTAGTAAAGTAGCAAATTATAATTTCACAGTTTGTGAAATACAAAGTATGGAAGCCATTTGCTATTTATGGCACGAAGGTGAAACACATAGAGGACCAAACGAAATAGCTTCTTGTCTTTTAAAATTCATACAGAAGAAGTCCGAGGAGAGAACGGTTAGGTTTCGAAATAATAATGGTCGTGGATAAGGCATTTTTGAATCCTTGTGGCATCGTGCCAAAGAAAATAGAATATCTCATGAAACTATGCTTAAAAAACCACATTCTTCCGTCATTCCACTAATTTTATAGTAATTTGTAAGTCAAAGTAGATTGTGATACCTAAGTTCATTTTTTGAAATTTATTCAAAGTAGACTGATTAAAAGTAAGTATAATATTACTATGTTTTTATAATTATAATTATTTAAAAGATTAAAAATTATAAATAATAATCTTTTTAATTTTTAACTAAGTCAAAGTAGACTGTTAAGAATCTTTATATTTTGGTTTTTATATTATTTATTATTAAAAATAAATTCTATATTGATTTAAAATATAGCCTTTTTAATTTTTTATATCTAACTCATTGTCCACTATCAAATGTTATTTTAAAATGCTGCTACAAAATTAATATTATATTATTACACAATTAAATAACCTAAAATAATTGTTGGTCGTAAATGAGGAATATCAAACTGCGCAACTATGAATATTTAAGGGGAAATTATTGATATAACGGCACAATTCAAGGTTTTCCTGGTACAAAAAGGCACAACTCAAAATGAAATGAAATACAATGTAGAATAAAACCGGCATAACTTAGTTTGCACATGTTTAGGAAATTCAGGAATTAATAAAACCTCTATAAGAATAATCTACAATAAAAAATTGATAACTATTAAAATAAAAAAATGAATCATCACAAAGAACCGTTTTGTCAGAAATAATTGGAAATTCTCAAAATCATTAATTGTATATTCCCAATAATGACATGTTTTGAGTTATGCCATTATTATTCTAGGGATGCGATATGTTTTGAACCCAAAAGAGTCTATTGGGATATTAAATAAAGGCCTTTGTCAGATATGAACCATGTGATATTATTATTATAATTATATATGTATAATATTGTCGATGTCCGTATCTATAAACTAGTGATGGGAATAATCGAATGATTTCGATAATCGAGAGATTAGTAATCGAGATATTATAATAATCGAGTAATTCACTAGATTATTTTAATCGAGAGAATGGTCACTATTATATAGTCACTAGTCGCCGAGATATAATAATCGAGAACATGACGTAATCGATAGATAAGAATCACTCAAATAATATTACAAATTTACGGTCGATAATACGGCAGCTTAACTCAAGATCTATAAAAATAAAATACTTACTTTATAGTACTACTATCTACTTCATAAGATATAAATCTTGAGCTTTACTAGCTTAGTATTAGATACGAAATAGCCGTGCTCGATTGTCAATAGACAATATTACAATAATCATTAATCAATAAAGCCAATAAAAGTATGTAAATTTTTTTTTTTTTTTTTTAGCTTTTACAGTCCGTTTAGGACCTTCGCTGCCTCAACCACTTCTTTCCACCTATCTCTGTCTTCGCTATCTTCAATCCTTATTAATTCTTCTGAGATTTCCGTGAGATCCGTTTTCACTCTGTCCTCCCATCTCTGTCTTGGTCGTCCCCTAGGTCTTTTACCGTTTAATTTTCCAGTGAAAATATTTTTTGCAATACCGTTCGATCTCCAAATATGACCCGCCCATTCTAACCTTTTGCTTTTTAGATACGAACTTATAATGGGTTTATTGAAAATTTGGTATATTTCTTGGTTAGTTCTTCTTCTATATTCCCCATTCTCAAATACTGGGCCATATATTCGACGTAGTACTTTTCTTTCAAATGTATTTAACTTTTCCTCATCTCCTTTAGTTACTGACCAGGTTTCACAGCCATACGTCAAGACCGGTCGTAAAAAACTGGAATATAAATTTTCTTTTGACTTCCTGGACAAAAATTTCGACTTAAACAATTTCGCAAGTGCATAATATCCCTTGTTTCCTGATGCAATTCTCAATTTGATTTCGTTGTGCATATTTTTACGGTTGTTTATATTAGTTCCTAGATACTTGAAATCTGTTACTTGTTGGAATACATATCCATCCACTAACATATCATCCAGAGCCCTCTCTTCTCTTGATACTACTAGGTACTTGGTCTTTTCTTGATTGACTTTTAACCCTATAGGTTCAGCTGCTTTGATTAGGTCTGCAGTTCTCATTTTCACATCAATTCGAGAACCACCAATTATTACGATATCATCTGCGTATGCTAAAATAGTGTTCTGTTCCAGAATTTCCATATTTTGTCTAGCAGGGAGAGATCTAATTACTTTTTCTAAAGCCAAATTGAAAAGTATTGGAGAAAGCGCGTCTCCCTGTCTTAGGCCAGTCCTGACTTCAAAACTTTCTGACAGTGTATTTGCAAATTTTACTCTACATTTTGTTTCGGTATTGCACTCTTTTATCAGCTGGATTAGTTTGGTTGGTATACCAAATTCCTCCAGTGCTTCCCATAGTTTTCTCCTTAAAAAGTTAGTCTCCTTTAAAACTATTTTAGTTATTTTGTTATGATTGAATAATATTATTCGTGGGTACTTGAAACTTCTAAAGTACACTATTAAATATCTATGATAGTATCACGGTTTTTGTTGATGTATAACGCGTTATAAGTATCTAATGGATATTGTGATATGATTAATTTGGAATTTATTATAGGTACCTACCTATTATAGGTCAATTTTTTGTTTAATACCATAGATATGTATATAATATGTCTTATACATAGACTGACATACCGTCACCGCTCAGAGTCGCTCTGTCGCAGCAGAGCGACACCCACTTGCCCACTTAAAAGAGTGGATATTTAATACTTCACCACTTAAATCTTCCATTAACGAATCTCTTATTAGTTGGCTATAATTTTTAGATAGTGTGATATCCATTCAATTATTTTTATTATTTTTTTTTTATTTTAAAACTGTTTTGTTTTTCTATGTTTTGTTTATTATTACTAGTATTAACTGGGGTAGTGTCTGAAGAAATAAAGACATTATTTTATCACAATATTTAATTATTGTCTTTTTGTTCTCTACATTTAGATTCGATCGATTGTACATTCCAAACATAATTTCCAATTTTTTTTTATCTCATCATCTAATGAAGGAGCTGGATTACTTATTTCTACTGCGTTTTTTAATATTAATTCTTGGTTGATTGTTGGTATTGATATTTTTTTACCTATTTATACTAACCGTTCACTTAGTAGTTTGTATTATATTATAAATTGAAACAGTCATGGTATTGGTATTATGTACTTCTGTAAAACTGATAATGTACAATTATATTTCTATTTTATCTCATAATAATTGGGTGTACCTACTGTACCTATATATGTTTCTGTAATTTATAGTTTTGATGAAGTCACTCATTGTAAGCTTTATCTGGTTATGTTTGGGATTTCCTATTGTGCACAAATTTTATTCTATTATAAAAATAGAAAGCAAAGTATCCATACTATAAAAAAAAATATGTAGTGTAACAATAATGTTATATCTGCTCTTGAATCAAACATTTTATAAGAAATCAGAAATGTGTACTTATTAAATTTGACTGATAGGTACATTGTAACCGTTCATAACTTTTCGTAGACTCTAAATATTATACGATAATTGTTGCATATCGACATAATCGCGAATATATAAAGTTAGTCAATAATACTAGTGTATCTATTATTAATATAAATTTTGGCTTTTGCACGACCTACATATTGCCTATTATTGCTAGTTATTGATTTTAAAAGTTGGCGGTAAAAATTCAATATTATTTTGTGATAACTGATAACAGTGTAGTGACGCCATATTGGAATAATTTGTGATTTTTCCTGCGAAGATCCATTCGTATATTGAAGGCCTCTCACTAGCGGTATTACCAAAGATAAAGTTGGGTATTTTTCTCCAGATCGTCAAACTTTCGAAAGGTTTTGAAATTGGGGAACAATCTGTTATTATATCCCATTCGTTTGAAGTTAAGCAATTTGGAGCTCATCGAAGCGATGACATTGCTGCATATAAAGGATTTTTAATTTGGATGAGCCTTTCTATCATATTTAAACTTGAGTTCCACCGAGTGCTAACGTCTTGTTTCACTTTCAACTCGGGAAGACCCATTTGTTTCTGAAATTCTTTTAATTTTTCTGTTGCAAGATTACTATGTTTAAAATGACCCACTATAGCTCGACATATTTTTAGCACCCTGAGAAACTCTGTATTTTGATTAATAGATTCATTCACACTTAAATTCAAAGTATGTGCTACACAAGGGTGGTGATATTTTAGGAGGTGATCATTTATAGCATGTTTTATATTTGCACCATTGTCCGAAACTATAGTTACAATTTTATTTGAAATATTCCACTCATTAAATATGTTTGAAAGTGCCGAAGCAATGTTTTCCCCGGTATGACATTCTTTAACTTCTTCAGTCGCAAGAACTGGTGAATACAAACAATCATTAAATATAAAATGGCAAGTTACAGTTATGTACGACCTAGTGGAATCTGATGTCCACATATCCGTAGTGATTGATACATCGTTAACGTTTTCCAACATATATTTTAGTTTTAAATAAATTACATTATATTGATCAGGCCGCGGCCGCCTGGGTATTTTTAAATATGTATTACTGTATTAGTTATTATTATATTATAATATTAGTGAATAGTAGATTAGTAGATAAGAATGATTAATGCCTACTGGTTCAGTGTTCGAAATTCGAATAGCTATACCAACTACTATAAAGTAAGTATAAACTAGTTATTATAAAAATAAAAATTACTAATAAGTAACTACTAACTACTAATTTTTCATTCGATTATTTTTGACCGAGCAATTCGATTTTTTTTCTAGTAATCAATTATTTTCTCTCGATTGTTCCCATCACTACTATAAACCGGTCTCGCCAGCCTTATGCCCGTATGCCCGTAGTCCTGTTGTTATGTGTCACATATAATTGCTTAAGTGACCTTTAGGTAAGTGGCCTATAACATTTTTATGTAACCCATAACAATTATTATATACCACGTAAGTTGTGTCTTGCATAAACAATATTTATGTATTCAATAGCTATGTAAACGTTTATGTGACCATTGTTATCAGGGTTACTATGTTCATATTAGTGAAAATTAATAAGATAATGAATAAAAGTATTACTATTATTCGTGATTCAAATGTATATAATTCATTTTGTTTTCTAATTTAATAAAAATATTTGATATAATGACGAGCATTTCAGAAAAAAATAAATGAGCTCGTGCTCCTAAAATTTCTGAAGAGGAAAAATCAATAATATTACACTGCATATCAAAAGAAGACTGAAAAGGACATAATTGAATGCAAAAAAAACAGATAAGTTTAGCAACAGGGATAAAAACTCGGCTTGGGAAAGAATTGCTGTTAATTTCAACACTCACTTGGGTGCAAACAAAGTTATTACCTATATGAATTATACTATATAGGTAAATTAGGTATATTTTATCCTATACCTACTTGTTTAGTGTAGGTACTAGGTAATATAAAATAAATATTTCTGTTTGTCAGTTCCATAATTCATTTGATTTACTGGTGTCTTCGACCAATTATTATGTTGTTACAAATTGTGATTACTTATTTTTATTGTAACTACCTAGTTACAAGCTACAAATCATAAACTTTTAGTAAAATTGTTTTCACACTACTGATGTACCTAATAGCACCTGTGTGGGAACAGGGACTCTGGTCAGGATAAATATAAGTCAAAGCAATTTAAATACGGTTAAGATAAACATTATATTACGGTATATTATAAACTTAAAAACGGTTGCCCGGAGGACATGGTAAAAGTAAATGGCGTCACTGGTCACTTAGCAAAAACACAAAAACATATACGGATTCGTTCGGTATCGAGTAACTGTCGTACGGAGGTACACGGTGGCGAAGACGGCGTCACCGGACCTTTACAGAAAACGAACTCACTGGTCACTGGACGGGCCGCTGTTGAAGTCCGTGCCGGTGCAGTGGGCACGAGGCGCAGTGTGACCAATCCAGGGCACACAGTGCCTTGGCCCTTACAATAAAAAATAAAAAATTCCTGGGTGCTAACATACTTAAATAGATTAATGCGTTAATGTTGTAAATGCGTACCTACATGAGGTATTAATATAATTTGTTTACCAGAGAGACTCAAAATGTCTACGCCGTTTTTTGGAGGTTGAAAAAGCTAAAGGTAGAAAAGGATTTGCAAGAGAAAGGAGAGAACACATGGAAACTGGGGGAGGCCCTGAAAAAGAAAGTTTTAATGACAATACACCAGAAATAAATAAAATAATAGTTCGACCTCAAATTGTGGAAGTGACAAATATGTATGATAGCGATGTAATTGCTCTTGAGCAACCTGGAAACTTAACACAAGACATTACTTCTATACCTCAGACACAAGACTTATTCCCATTAAATTACATAATTATGCATTCAAATATTTTATTAAATGTGAATGCACCAACAACTGATGACACAGGTTAGAATGTCATCAGATTAATTCTTGTTCTAAATGAATTATTGCATTTTCTGATTAAATTATAATACTTAATTATTTCAAAATGTAATAGTAGGTACAACTACAGAAAAAGAATTTGGTTCATACTTTAACGGTTGAAATGTATGTGAGGAAGCTATAAATTATGATGCAAATATTGTGAATGTTAACCGTAGTGTGCACGAAGAAAATTATAATTCCTTCAATCTCCTCATACTTCTTCTCCTATTCAAAAATCATCTTTGAAAAATTGTAGTATATATTTCCTATTTATATTCCTGTCTAGATTATACTCTCCATTTTACCAGACAATCTCCATTTTGGGGAATTTTTAAAAATTTTTTATAAACTGATTTTACCTATAGATTTTTGTCTTTATGTAATTATAACTAATAAGGTAATGATTTATTGTTATTGATATTACCTAGGTACTTATACAATTTTTAAACAAAATGTTTGAATGTTATTTCTTATTTTGGAACAAATTTATTTTATATATTTTTATATAAACCTGCAAAATGTTATTTTGATTTTGGGTTTTAATGGCACTTTTTGCTCTAATAGAATCAAAATTGGGTTGTCTGGTAACTTTGTTATTTTATCGTTTTATTGATTGTAGTTCCTTCCACATCAAATTTGACTAAAAAATCTACTAAACGTATAGTAAGTGAGGAAGCAAATTTAAGAATAAAAAAGCTTAAATCAACTAATGAAAGTGAATCGACTTTATACAAGTTACAGGTATGTTTTTGTATCAGTGGGAATAGCCAGCAGAATATCAGGAAAAATGTTTTTAAATACCTACTGTCTAATTTATTCAATCATTGGTCGGATATCTATACTTTTTAAAGTTAATATATCTACTACATTCCACCTTTTTCATAATTTAATTTAACCAGTGTTGTAAAGTATTTGAGTAAAAGTATTAATAATAATAATTTATATTATATTTATATTAATACATATATTAAATGTGTTGTGAATATTTATTTAAAATGTTCTTTTCCTATTTACTTAAATTACTTTAATATTAAGAGGACGCCACACCCGCATGTGTTGTCTCCGTCTTACAAACGCGTAACATAGCAAATTACGTCCACGGAAAACAAACGAATCGGCATCAAAAGTGGTTTTAGAGTAAAAATACCTATAATAAAACTTAAAGAGAACAATATTTTGGAGGGAACCTCATCGGCGTTTTTAAAATATTAACTATTAAAAAAGTTGTGGTTATTTAAAAAAATAAAAAAAAAGAGTTTTTGTGCCTTCAATATCTAGCTGTGTATTTAGATTAATACAAAACCCCGATGAGGTTCCCTCCGAAATATTGTTCTCTTTAAGTTTTATTATAGGTATTTTTACTCTTAAACCACTTTTTGATGCCGATTCGTTTGTTTTCCGTGGACGTAATTTGCTATGTTACGCGTTTGTAAGACGGAGACAACACATGCGGGTGTGGCGTCCTCTTAACTAATATTGTTATGGTAAACATACATAATCAAAAATACTTAATTTTAATTTTCAGATAGATCATCAAAAACTCTTAATCGAAGGTTTGATGGCCAAACGTGCTGAGGAAAAAGAATTATTTAAATTTAAAAAAAAAAAACATTTACTAGAAATTTGTAAATTAAAAGATTAATATTAAACATTTTAAATACATTGTATTATAAACAAAACATATTAAGTTAAGTTCTAAATAAAGTCCTACTAAGTATTATTATCAATAATTGTTATTAATTTATTTAACTTATTTGTTTACTTCTTTAATTTGTATTATTTTTTAAATAAATTCATTTTTTGTTATCATATGTAACAATTAAGAAATTTGATAAATAGGTATAATAAATATTTTAGTCAAGTGAAATGTCTAATAATGTGAGCTCTCCGAGCAGCTGCACCAATAATCTCTCTATTTTTATCATTAAGAAAATGAGTTACTTCTTCAACAGCAAATTCTGGTAATCTTAATTTTAAACTTATGTTATACAGTACAGCACAAGCTACAATTATTGAAACTATTGTGTTGAGTCTAATGGTGAATTAGCTAAACCTCTTCTTGGAAATATGGAAATTTTCTTTTCCATACACCAAATACTCGCTCTACGATATTTCTTGTTTTGATATGAGCTTTATTATAATTTTTCTCTGCATTTGTTACTGGATTAAGTAAAGGTGTAAATATGTAAGGTTTTGCATGCATATCCTAAACAAATTTATTAATTAATTAATGTGCTTACTACATAAATTATTAAAAAAAAATATAGTATATTATCATCATTACCATTGTCCCCCAGAAGTATAAGATTATGATTATTGTTAGAATATACAGCACAGGCATGACTGGCATTGCAGATAAAGCTATCATGGTAACTACATGGCCATCTAGCCACCAAATCATGTATTTCCATCAATGGACCACAAACTAACTATAATATTTTTGGATTGAATAAATAAATATAATATTATTATTATATTGTTTAGGTTCCTACTTGAACATTCAAAGAAAACCATCCTTTACGATTCCTGAATACTTCTCCATTTATACCACCTGGATTTTGTATTCTTATATGCTGGCATTCCAGCTATTTGAAAAAACTGTTGTCTAGTGACTGTCCATTCAGCTTCAGTTTGAGGAAACTTTACATGATCTCTAAAACGACTAGCAGTCTCATGGGAAACTCTTTTAATAATTCTAGATACAGTACTCTGATCAATGCCTCTCAAGTCTCCACAAACAGTCTATAAATTAAAAGTAACGTGTCTTAAATAATTTTTACAAATTTAAATTAGGTAGGTATTTCACTTGAAAGTTTGCTGTTGCATAAAATCGTAATGTTGTCAATAACTGTAGAACTGGAGATATAGGCAATCCTCGATTATTGGCATAGTTAATTCCTAATAAATCTAATAACTGATCCATGACAATCAGTTTTGGAAATCGATAACGTTTCAAAAATGTATTGTCATTGTATTTTTCAAACGGATCTTCCATATTTCGAATATACCTTCTTGGAATTCATTCAACATCGAATTCGTCGAAATATTCATCAACCATTTCAACATAATTCACAAAGTTATAAAAATACAACTATATTTTTAAAACAACTTTTTAAAATTTATATTTTGAGCTCGAAAAATATTGATAGCAAGTAAAAAATAACGAATTTATGTATCACTTAAGATTTAGTTGGCGGAATTTGAGAGCATAACTGTATGTGTTAGTTTATGGATTATGTAATACATAAATATCACTGTGCAAGAGAAAATTGTTAAAAGAAATTATGTGTCACATAACTATGTCTTATGTGACACATAAAATGACTATGCATGCGGTCCTCAGTCTCTATACATTGTTATCATGTTGCATGTTTAGTAGTTAGTTGGGTTTCTCTCGTCTTCGGCGAGCGACATAAAAATAAAGTTATATACAGTCCACAAACACACACATATGATGTTATGATTTTTAATGTAAATATTATCGAGAATTATCGAATTCCCTTTTCCTCACGCATCAACATGGTCCAGTCGAGCCAGATCAAGGGAGTCATAAGGCGAATTACGTGCTACGTAAAGTATTAATTATGTCAGCCTGTGGTGATGCTCGGAAGCTCGTCGTGATGTCATTATTTGCTTAACTCGAGGCATAAATCAAGATTCATCAAATAAAACTTTAAAGGTCAGTTAAGTCCATATTGTTTTATTTTCTTGGTAAAATCTAAGGCATTCGTAAAAATAAATCAATCGCATCGCCCACCATTCAGTAGGTATATTCAGTAGGAAATAGCTGGAAAGTACAATTATTGCATAATAGATTATGTGATCATCGAATATCTGTATATTATAACAGGTATTTTATAATCAAGAGAGATACGCACATTGTATACTATAAAATAAAAATATGACGGAATTAGCAGCACTCATTGCACGTCGAGGTCAGTTTAAAGGTCAGTTGACTCGTTTGTCTACCTACATTAAAGATAACGTCGAAAACGTAGACGTCAACCAAGTTATATTAAGAAAAGGCAAAAGAAGTTTGGCAGGATTATGAACAGATTCAGATTGAAATCGAAGAAAAGGGCTGTTCGGATGAAACTGAGAAATATCGGGCAGAGATGGAAAAACTTTACTATGAAACAATGGCGGAGTGTGAAAGAATTGTGCGTAAGGGTATGTCGGCGTTGAATGACTTAAGCTTATCAGACTCAGGATCCAATTCGCGACGGAGAAGTAACACGTCCGTATCAAATACTCATTCGGTGTCATCAATGGTAAAATTAGTGCCCATAGACATTCCGAAATTCTCAGGTATATATTCCGAATGGAAACCATTTTTTGATATGTTTACAGCCCTTGTCCATAACAACGAGAGAATAGACGACGTTCAAAAATATTTTTGCGGCACTTAGTGATGATACCGAAAATGTGGTTAAATGTTTTCAAACTACTGCCGAAAATTATCATCTTACATGGAATAGTTTAATCGAACGGTACAATAATAAGACATTTTTAGTACAAGCACATACTAAATCGTTGTTCGAGTTACAACTGGTTCGCCAGGAATCAGCAAACCAATTACGAAAACTATACGATTCAATATTAGGTCATATTAAGGTACTCGAGACATTAGGACAGTGGTTCTAACACAGGTGTTCCGTGGACTTCGTATAAGTGTTCCGCCAAAATTTTAAAATCAGTGAAAAAAAAATTCTAAATTCTTTCAAAATAGAATCATTTTAGGTTTTGTTGGTTTATTTTTGTACACAAAAACGTTATCGTTAACTTTCGAATAATATAATGTGTCAGTATACTATATAATATATGAATATATTACATTATTATTATTATATTATACGATAATCTCCACCATACTGCGATAACATACGTATAGAATATAGATATTGACAATTTTATTTTCTGCACTAATCTCTTATCTCTTATATTATAAAACACAAATAGTCTCCGTTTTTCGCCACCAGGCGCGACGCGACAAATAAGGAATTCCGCGTTTCTTCCATGACGACCAATCATAATACTTCTCGCGCGTTCGCTAAATTTTCACGTCGCCGCTCGCTTATCTCCCTTTTCGTTATCGACGATTGACGTGAATATTTTCGAATATTATTTTCCTGAGTTATTCCGTATTTCTATATATTATATAATATAATAAAAAAGTGCGTGTGCGATTTTTACAAAAATTGTGATATTTCCGTGTGTAAAATATATATAATATGTAAAACGCAATATTCAGAAACGGTTCAAGTGTTATGTAAATGTCATTATTATGAATTTTATTATCGTACCATTGGGGAAGCCACCATTCAGCCATTCAGCATTTCAATAATATTAAAAATATAAGTAGTTTGAATGCACGGATTAGATAGACATTTTTCACGAGTATTGCAGTAAATTTAACTATTATAGCTAAGAGTTTTAGTAGGAGCTTGGTGTGTCGATTGTTTATGACAATGTCGTTACATACGTAATAAGGTAAGTAATAATAAGTAAATTCAATACATTTCAATTTTTTAAAACATACATGTTATGTAATATTATTATATTATATACGAGGGGTAATTACAGAAAGTTTGTACACCAGATTACTGATTTAAATGATTATACCTATGATTTCCCATGACTTACTACAAAGATTACCTATGATTACCCATGATTATCCCCATGATAACCCCTCGATTATAATATACTAATATTGTATTACCAAGTTTAATTACTTCAATTCATACCTTATACCTGTACTATAACCTTTAGATTGGGTTACACGTATTAATTTTTTGCAATATTTCAAACAAATTTCAAAACAAGAAAACTACATATACATATTATATGTTATAAAATTATAATAAATTGAATTTAAATTCCTCCAAAGGTGTAAAACTATGCTTAAAATATTGTAATATTTGTCAACATTTTTATTATGTCGTTGGCATGCAAAAATGTATTATACATGATTTATATATATTATATTAATAAATACATAGGTATCATTTATATTCTACTTTTTTAAACTTTATTATAGGACAACTGTATGCAGCGTTTTCCCGAGTGAGGGACTCTCAATCCATAAAATCCATTAGAGTTGCTATGTACAGTGATGGCCGTGGTAGATTCATCACTAAGAACATTGTGTACAGAGAAATTCTACAAGCGATATAACTGTATAATGAAGTCTACAAGAACTTAATGAACATCGAATCCGATCTGTGTGACACATGGTTTATAAGCAGTCGTAAGTACGACTCGCGGAGGAGAGAAAGTTCGACGACCTCCACGTGGTTCTCTCTGGATGCGGATTTTGTAATGAATACGTAACTGATGTCGAACATGCATTTAACCTGGCTGCAACTCGCACACTAGATGGTAAATTATTTAGAATTATTTATGTACTCTAAAAATATATCAGCAGATATTTGTATGCATTTGTATTATTTCAGAAACATTATACTAGAAATGACTATCAATGCAGGTGTAACAGAAACAGAATCATTGTTGGACTGCTACTAAGACATAGGGGAAATTCGACAACCTCTACGTGCTTCTCTCTTGATACAGATTTTGTAATGTATTTGTATCAAATGTCAAACATGCATTTAAACTGGCTACGACTCGCACACTATGTGGTAAATTATTTAGAATTATTTATGTACTCTAAAAATATATCAGCAGATATTTGGTATATTTGGTATATTTCTACTTTACCGGGCACCCTTTTTTTGGAAACTTATGTACCTAGTTAAGTACGCTGAAAACGATGGTGAAAACCGAATTTGGGCACGGACTTAGTTTTGAAGTTATGGCCTAATGAAGTTCACTATTTCGCGATTTTTTTTTCACTTATTTTGATTGTGATTGTGCCGTGGCTGGCAGTTGTCCGAAAAATGATAAGGTGGTTGTACGTTGGTTAACCTGTGATTACCCTGTGACCAACTTAAGGTGGTGTTGCACAGCAAGTCGGGGGATATTTTCGATTTGCGGAGCGGAGCGACGGCGCCGAGGAGCGTAGCGACGAGTGCCGCTAGCACGGCATCACTGTACGATGTCTTTCAACATAATTTAGTTTAGTTTTAATTTTAGTAATTATAATGTAGTGTTTAATTTAGTTTTAATATTAACCTATAGTTGCAAGTTTTTTTTTGTTAGTTTGTTTTTCCCTGCACTTCCATTTGAATTTATCCAAAGACGCTTCTTCGCGTGTTAATGTCATTTTATGCCCTCTTATGCATTTCGGTGCATTATGTAATACACCAAAATTCTGGAGCATTTCTATTAATGGCAATCCTTCGTTTTGAAGAGACAGTTCTTTTAAGTCATATAAATTTAAACTCTTGACACTCATTCTAATATATTTTTAAAGAAAATGTAATTTAAGATATTAGAAAAAAACACTAGTTTCTTATATAACAAGTGCAATACTGAAACGTTTTAGATATCTTTGTAATCTCATATTTAAATTGTTTTTACTCAAAATACATTTATTATTTGTTATATTATCTTAATGAATGTCGTTAAGATAAAAATAATTGGTATATAGTGGTGTTTCCGAAATAGTCGTGTAGTAAACTAGTGTGATGCGCGAATGCGTAAAAATCGCGAAATAGTGAACTTCATTAGGCCATAACTTCAAAACTAAGTTCGTGCCCCAAATTCGGTTTTCACCATCGTTTTCAGCGTACTTAACTACATAAGTTTCCAAAAAAAAAAAGGGTGCTCGGTAAAGTAGAAATGTTCCGATATTTGTATGCATTTGTATTATTTCAGAAACATTATACTAGAAATGACTATCAATGCAGGTGTAATAGAAACAGAATCATTGTTGGACTGCTACTAACACATAGGGGAAATTCGACAACCTCTACATGCTTCTCTCTTGATGCGGATTTTGTAATGTATTTGTATCAAATGTCAAACATGCATTTAAACTGGCTACGACTCGCACACTATGTGGTAAATTATTTAGAATTATTTATGTACTCTAAA